CTCGGGCAGTCGCCCTGGCAGAACCGAGGGTTGTAGACGGGCGGGGCGATAAAGTAGTGGCCCCAGCCGAGTTCGTCGAAAGACAGGCGGAAAGAGTGGAGCTTGCATCGGTTTTTGGGTGTGTTGGTTTTGTGTTTGTAGCTGGGGATATCAGAGACGATCAAGGATGAGGTGGGGGTGGAGAAGGATGAAGAGGAAGTGGGGGCATTCTTTAGTGCGTCAAGTGAAGGATCCTGAGGCTCTGAAGAATCTTTGGAGCGACGGCGGCGGTGAAGCGAAAGATGCCACTGCCCAATTTGCCTCATGATGCCTTCCCCTTCCGTGCCAAGCAGTTCTCCCATCCAGTCCTTCACCTCCCTCTCCTCCTCCAGGTACAGAAGAAGAGAGGGAACTTCGAGGTGAGGTTCACCGCTCCAGCGTGTCCTCCCTCGAGACAGAATCCTCCACCACCGCAGGAGGCCGTTGCTCTCTTCAGCCAGCTCAGGTTCTGTGCACCAGTACTGGGCAGTGAGGGTCAAGTGCCTCCCCCGGCCTTGATCCTTCCCGCGCAGGACGTGGCTGCTGATGTGTGCAGTGATGTCCGTCTCCGTCCACCGCTCGTGAGGCTCCAAGGTGACCAGACTCTCTGCACCTAGCGCGGTGATCTGAGCCCTGCAGCGGGGCGGCTGGACGGCCTGTTCGCTGCTCAAGTTTGTGGAGGAAGAAGAGGGCGGAGAAGAGCGAAGGTGAACAAAAGAAGCTCTCACCAGTCGCTCTGAGGGGAGAGTGTCGAGGTTGTACTGCACCGTGAAGGTGTAGCAGTGGTCTGAAGAAAAGGAGGAGGCGACAAAGTCATTAAATTAGCATCAATCATATCGATCCCTCACTGACTGCTTCAAGTCCTTTGAGCAAAGCAGAGCCAACATTAATATATGTAAAAGCTGTTGTGCAGTACAAAATAAATTGTCACTACACCCAATTAACTCTACTTGGGTGTAGTGACAATTCTGTTCAGTCAAACTTCTGTTTTGCAGCCCCTGCTGGCCACTGGGAAGATTTAAGACTCTTCTGTAGCAGCTTCACTTTTCAGGCCCTACACTCACTGGTGACCTAACACCTATTTAACAATTTACACAAAAATCTAACCAATATTTTCCTTTTAAATTTCTGGTTGGTATAAATCCATATTGTTGTTTAGCTGTCATAGGGTGAGAAGCAGGGTTCACCAAGCTTTCATAGCCTAACCTAACACATAGACAACTGCTCATATTTAGATTCCCCAGTTAACCTGACCTGTGTTTGGACTGTGGGAGAAAGCTGGAGTAAGAGGTGAGAACCTACACAGACACATGGGACTCACGACAGATGCACTGCATGAAAAGTGGGCAAAAAGTGGGAAAAAGTCTTATTTACTTACTGCAGCATCTGTGGACACACTACACTTTGTATGACGTTTGGCTGTTTTGTATTAATGGTATATTTTTATTAATATTTCCCAAACAAACTTCTTCAGTTATCCGAGTAAGTTATCTGACTAGTTTTAGTTCTACGTGGCAGCTGTCTGCCAAAGGTAGCTTTGCTGTGTTTTAACTGCTTCCTGTGAGGTCGCTGGAAGGTCGCACGTGGTTACCACAATACTGAAAAATACATCAAAATCCTTTTTCAGTCACACAGAAACACGAACTAAACTTAAACGAATATCATGGGGAGGCTGGTGCTAAAATAAGGACATGAGTGTTACACATCATCTGAGCTCCGATTGACCGGAGACAGAGGTAAAAATCTAATTAACTAAAGGGCAGTTTATTTGGCATGATTTCTTTTCTTCATTTAAATTTAGTCACTGCGTGAAACTAATCCTCGGATTCTGTAAATCTGCGGCCACATAAAAACCTCTCCAGCCATTAGTTCGATACTTTTAGCAAGATTAGTCAGCTATTCTTCACCTCCAGACGCGGGCAGGTAATGCACCGATGACGCCGTGGGCCTCAGCAGGCGCACCGTGTTGGAGCCGAACTTCCGGTGCTGTTTGGGCCTGCCGTCCGGTTCGGCTGCGCTGTGGTACAAACTGAGCATGAACTGCAGGTTCTGGTCCGCTTTCTGCTCGTCGGTCAGCGGCCTGTGGTGGTGGCGGTGCGCTCCTCTGTCCTTCGCGCTTTGGTGACTCCGACGACTGCGCCTCAGCGTGGGCTGGTGAGAGGCCATGTTCTGCCCACCGCAAGTGGAACAGAGCAGGAAGACGAAGCAGGACAGGGCGCAGACACGAAGGTAGCCTAAGCCGCGTTTGGCACAGGTCGCCCTCATGTTGGATATAAAACCTCTGGCGCTAGCGAGCTCCACCAACGAGGCTAGAGTTGGCAAACATCGTCCGCGCGGCCTAAAGGCGTCATTTACAGGCTCACCTGCTCGCTCGCCATTTTAGACCTTACAAACAACTTCCTGAAATTGGCGGTGACCCCAATTAAACCTTCGGACGTGCACGAAAGGAAGCCACGTGAGTGTGCGTAAAAATGATGTGACGAGATCCTTTTATGATTTTTATAGTACAATTTAAAAATATTCAGACTCAGAGTCAGATGTGTTAAAGGGCTCCAATCAGAATTTGATTTGGGACCCACAGCTACACCCACATATCTCTCTATCCACTTCAGCACCCCGGCAGTATTAACTTTATATTGATCATGTTTGATCGTTGGCATCGATGGCACTGTCAGGGCTGACCGGTGTGTTGGGAAGCAATTAAATAAACGAGCAAAAACAAATTTAGGTGTTTAAAATGCTTTTCAAATGACCAGCAAATGATTTAAGACGAATCTAAATATGATTTTCTTACATAAATCGCAAATGCAAAAACAGACATTATGCGTTAAAAGGAATTTAAATAGGTAAACCCAGCACAATCATTAAAATACAAAATATTTAAGTAGACATGCTTGTTTTAGATTATCATGATGTAAAGTGTCATAACGATATTGTTCAAGAGTATTTTTTGTACAGTTACTACAACAATTTCCTTTGAAAATCACCACTTCACTTGCAGCCTCCCGTTTTCATTTTTAATTCACAGAAATAAGTTTGACTGTATTTATTTCAAAAGCATTGAGGCTGCAGGCCTGTGTCACTAGTTGCCTACTAGGATCTAGTTCCTTCAGCCTTTGAATCTTTTAAGACAAGATGTGACAGAAAGTTTGTTTTTGTTTTTATTGTGGATGGGACATAAAAAGAATTAGAAGTACAAAAATAGTGCTTCTATATGTATACTGTGAAATGACGCGCTTAGCAAGATTGAACAAAGTGTCTAGAAGGTGCATGAAAATAAAAAATCCTCCTTAGTGGGTGAAAAAAGCAAATAACTATTACGTGAATTTCGATGTTTTCATTTTATAATGTAGTCAAAAGCAAACCAGTGAAACCATTAGACTGTTTATGATCTGTTGTAATACACATGGCTATATTTGATATCTGTATTACTGCTCTACCCAGCAGTCATTTGTGTATGTGGTTTTCTTTTCAATGTATTTTAAAATGACACATTTCAAGTCATTACATTTTTTTTACAAGATGCCAGACATATGTGTGTGTAGGTGTGTCTATATTTTTACAACAGGTGATCCAAGAATATTTCTTTAGTCCTTTTCCAGATGTACAATTACAGTGCCCATTGTAAAAGTTCATGAAGGCATATTTTATTTACAATAGAACACAGAAGAAATATCAAATGTTTAAACTGGGAAAATGTATCTTTTAAGAAAAAAAGGGTAATTTTTTAATTTGATGGCAGAAACATATTTCAAAAACTTAGGACGGGGTCATGTTTACCACATATTCAGCTGCTCAACACTCCTGGGTTTTCTCGAGGAAGCTCCAATTCCATAGGCACTAATGCATCACATATTATTAGAGATGGAGGCTTTTGCATTAAGTGCTGATACCAAACTGGATGGTTCCTCTCCTCTTATCTGGAGGATGTGACATCCATTTTTTCCTAAAGAATTTCACATTTTGATTTCTGGAAGTGCTC